GATCTGACCACACTGTTCCTTCCCAGCTGCAAGAGGAAGCCCAGTGTGGGGGTCGCTGTGAAGCAAGCTCCTTCCTGCCCCCGCGGAGACATAAAAGGACAGGCAGGCCGAGCACGACGCGCGCGCGCTCCTAGCCACCCCTGCACGCCCTGCGCACCATGTCCCGCCGCTGCGCGCTGCTCACGCTGCTCACCGCGGCCCTCCTGCTGGCCCTGGAGGCGACCCCGAGCGACAAGGTCGATGCCTGCTGCGGCTCCGTGGTGCCCCGGCGCGAGTGGAGGGCCTTGGCGTCCGAGTGCAGCCAGACCCTGCGGCTGCCCGCGCGCTACGTGATCGTGTCTCACACGGCGGGCAGCACTTGCGACAGCCCGGCCCTGTGCCAGCAGCAGGCGCAGAACGTGCAGCACTACCACATGCGGCAACGGGAATGGTGCGACGTGGCCTACAAGTGAGTGTCCCCACCAGGGGGTGGGAAGGGGGTCGGAGGGGGCAGGTGCTGCCCTGGAGCCAAGCTGTCGCCCACCTGGGGCACCCACGGGGCTCCCCGGCCTGGCTTTATCCCCAGTGTGGCCACCCAGAGCCTCCGTGTGCGGAGGAGGGGCACAAGGCCCAACTCTATCCCCTAGAGGGAGCAGCCCGGTTGGACCCTGGTGCCTTGTGAGGTGGTAGAAAACCAGGCTGGCGAAGGGCGAGGCCCTGGTGCGGCTGTGAGTTAAGTATTGGCCTGCTAACCCCAAGGTGAGCTATTCAAATTCCCCAGGTACTCCCTGAGAGAAAGAGGAGGCTGTCTGCTCCCGGTACCGTTTACAGGCTGGCAAACCCTTTTATTTTTTATTCTATTGTGTTGTTTTTTCTCTTCTTTTATAAATCATTTTATTAGGGCCTCTTACAGCTCTTATCACTATCCATCCATCCATCCATTGTTTCAGCACATTTGTACATATGTTGCCATCATCATTTTCAAAACATTTTCTTTCTACTTGGGACCTTGATTATCAGCTCATTTCCCCCCTCCCTCATGAACCCGTGATAATTTTTTTTTCATATCTTACACAGTCCACTGTCTCCCTTCACCTGTTTTTCTGTTGTGCATCCCCCTGGGAAGGGGCTATATGTAGATCATTGTGATCGGTTCCCCTTCTCCCCCCACCTTCCCCTTCCCCTCCTGGTATTGCTATTCTCATTATAGGTCTGGCAAACCCCTTGAAAGGTCACTGTGAGTCGGAGCCCTGGTGGTATAGGGGTTACGTGTTGGGCTGCTAACCAAAAGGTTGGCAGTTCGGGACCACCAGCCACTCTGCAGGAGAATGAGTACGCTTTCCACGCCCGCCAAGAGTTAGTCTTAGAAACCCACGGGTGCAGTTCTACCCTGTCCTACAGAGTTGTTGTGAGCCGGAATCGACCCCAGGGCAGTGAGGTTGAGTTTGGTAAGCCAGAAGCCGCTGGCTGGCAGTGTTTGTCATGGGTCTCCAAGCGGAGTGGGGGGGTGGGGGTCTCACTAAGTGGAGGGTCTCTAAATGGAGGACTGGAAATGAGGG